AAATAAACTGTTAAACTTTCATCCCTGTGTCCGTCAGTGGTGTTCTGCATTCTTGGGTCGCTTTTAGTGAACCCATCATGACAGAACACTGCGGCCAAACTCAAGGCCCAGCAGATCACTACATCCGTCGACTAGAGGAACAGGCTGCCCAAATTCATGGACACGGCCTGGCTCTACGTGAGTTAAACACCCACATAGAAAGACAGAATCAAGCTATTCAAGGCTATGCTAACTACGTGAACAGCGCTAATGCTGCGTCTGTACAGCAACCATTTCCGGGTCCAGTCCCTCCTCCGAGGTCACCAGCAGTGACGTCATCAGAGTTCCGTCCTAGTCTCCCAGAAAGATTTTCTGGTAACATGAAAGATTGCAAAGGATTTTTATTTCAATGTCGATTGATTTTTCAGAACTCCCCTGGCAGCTTTTCCACGGATTACAAGAAAATAACTTTTATTCTCTCACAGTTAACAGGAAGAGCCTTGGAATGGGCTCAGGCTAGATTTGCCGCTGATGATAGCTTAAACTGCTACTACTCTGATTTCATCTCTGAATTTACCCAGGTATTCAACCAAGAAACTGATCAAACTATTGATTCCAGAGCTCTTTTCAACCTAAAACAAGGAAACTCTTCGGTGGCTGAATTTTCCATTAACTTCCGGGTTAAAGCGGCAGCTTCCGGATGGAACCAAAGCGCTCTTAAGGGAGCCTTTTTCATGGCCTTAAATGAGCACATTAAGGATGAGCTCGCAACCCTCGACGAACCAGCTACCCTCGAGGAGCTTATTCGCCTCTCCATTAGATTGGATAATAGAATTCGTGCCAGAAACAGCTCAAAGAAGCAGGGTACACTTTCTTCTGCCTCACATAACGTGACTGTTTGTTCTTCCTCTACAGAGCAGCTGCCCATTCAGAGGCCTAAGTCCCAGTCTCTACCGTTGCCTATTCAGGCCTCTCATTCAAACGAACGGGATGTCGAACCCATGCAGGTGGGACACACTAGGCTCACCCCTGAGGAGAGGCAAAGGCGTTTTCTAAGCAAACTATGTATCTACTGTGGTGAGAGTGGACACTTCATCGCTTCTTGCCCGGCTAAATCAAAAGCCTGGGCCCGCCAGAAGATCTGAGGAGTCTGGCGGGCCAAATAAACACAAAGAAATCTCCTCGACTGTTACTTCCTGCCACGCTGTTCTGTTCTAATCAAAGCCTCTCTTTTTCTGCATTCATCGACTCAGGCTGTGAACGAAACCTAATCGATTCCAACCTCGTCCAGCAACTCCAAATAGAAACCATTCCTCTGACTCAGCCTCTCAGTGTATCCGCTATTGACGGAAAAAGACTCCATCAAGTTACACAT